AGGAGTGTGGGAAAATGGTCCTCCTGGGCTGAGTCTGCTTCTGGGTAGGGGCCACAGGACTGGATGTGTTACGGGTCCAGGTAGGCCCATTCAATTGTTAGAAATGCAAAAGCCTGAAAAAACATCTCATTTTTTTAATTTTTTTTTTTTTTAAGATGGAGTTTCACTCTTGTTGCCCAGGCTGGATTACAGTGGCACAGTCTTGGCTCACTGCAACCTCCATCTCCCAGGTTCAAGCAATTCTCCTGCTTTTTTTTCCCAGGTAGCTGGGGTTACAGGCATGTACCACCATGCCCGGCTGATTTTGTATTTTTTTAAGAGATGGGGTTTCTCCATGTTGCTCAGGCTGGTCTGGAACTCCTGACCTCATTTTTTTTGCCTACCTCGGCCTCCCAAAGTGCTGGGATTACAGGTGTGAGCCACTGTGCCTGGACAAACACTCGGCCTGTTTTAAAAAGGCCAATTTTAAAAAACAACTATAGGGCCGGGCACAGTGGCTCAAGCCTGTAATCCCAGCACTTTCGAAGGCCGAGGTGGGTGGATCACGAAGTCAGGAGTTCGAGACCAGCCTGGCCAATATGGTGAATCCCTGTCTCTACTAAAAATACAAAAATTAGCCAGACGTGGTGGCACGTGCCTATAGTCCCAGCTACTCGGGAGGCTGAGGAAGGAGAATTGCTTGAACCTGGGAGGTGGAGGTTGCAGTGAGCTGAGTGCACTGCACTCTGGTTTTTTTGACAGAGCGAAACTCCATCTCAAAATAACAATAATAATAAAATAATCAAATCATTTTTTTCATAAACTACATTTCTCCCAAAGTCAGCAGCTTGGTCTATGTCCAGGAATGACCAGGGATAGCTTGGAGGTTAAAAACAAGATGGAGTCAATTATGTCGGACTAAAATTACTGTTATAATTTTGCAAAGGTGGTTTCAGAAGGTGGCACTGTCTTTGGAGCCAATAATGGGGAGGTAGTGCCTAGAGGCAGAATTGGGATTGACTTGTCATTACTTGAGATTGTATTTTAGCTTTTTTTTGAAAGGTCTGAGCCTGGTTCTGGTGGGAATGTTGGGCTTCATTCCCTGGCAGGGGCAATTGGGACTTTGTGCAAGTTGGGAGCGTGAAATGAAGCTCTAAAGACGACCCCAAGCTCTCCAGAGGAGATGCACCTCTTGTGGCTGAAAGAGACACACAGATTAAGATGATGGGATTTTTTTGGCCATGGTCGGGCGAGGGAAGAGCAGTCATGCATTCCTCTTTCCAGGAGAGGTTTTTTTCAGACAAACACAACGTTTGCACCTCTGAGCTAAGATGGCTCCTGAAACCAGAGCCGAGACACATGGCTGGAAATCTCCTGCCAGCTGCCTGAAAGGGGCACCCTACAGAGACCTTTTTTTTTGGGCTTAGAAACTACCCAACTGAGATGCAGTTATTTTCAACCAGTCGGGTCTTTTTTTGTTTCAATCTTTCATTTGCATGTACAGACCATGTTGAGGTCTAGGGCAGGACCTTTCCCTAATGAAGCCAGGACCTCTTTTTGTCATTTGGAGCTCAATTTTTGTCTTACACTGGAGCCTGTGTCTCCCCAATCCATAGATTTTTTATTTATTTATTTTTATAGAAAATAAGGTTTTTTTGCCGGGCACAGTGGGTCATGCCTGTAATCCCAGCACTTTGGAAGGCTAAGGCAGGCAGATCACTTGAGCTAGATAATTCGAGACCAGTCTGGACAACATGGCAAAACCCCATTTCTACAAAAAATGTAAAAATTAGCCTGGTTCGGTGGTCCATGCCTATAATCTCAGCTGCTCAGGAGGCTGAGGCTGGAGAATTGCTTGAGCTCAGGAGCAGAGGTTGCAGTGAACCAAGATTTTTTTGCTGCACTCCAGCCTAGGTGACAGTGTGAGACCTGGTCTCAAAAAAAGGAAAATTTTTTTAAACCTTTTTCTTTTTCTTTCACAGACCTCATGGTCTCTTGCTAAGAGGAGTGGATAATTTGTGTTTGGTCTCAAACAAAGGCCTTTGTACCCCACACAGAGTATTGAGGGCTTTTTTTTTAGTCCCTCCACTCTCCAACCAGCTCCGGCTGCAAACCAAGGTTGGAGAGAAATAGGAGGGTGGCAGGTGGCAGTCCAGGCACAGTGGGGAGCCTGCTGTGGGGATTTGGATAGTTTGGATAGTCCCTGGTCATCTCATGGTGTCTCCTTAAAGGAACTAGCCTGACCCTCTGCAGTCTCCCCTGTCCACGTGGAGTCCAGGTATGCAGAGCTTTCAGGTGAATAAAATATTCTTTTTTTTGAAAAGTGGGTTATAGTTCTTAGCTCAGATATGATGTGGCCAAAAGAAATTCCTATAGGAAATTTCACTGGTGTTTCTATCAACTTGCAGTGTTCCATCTGGATCTTAGCTCTTTTTTTACTTCATGCCCTTGGTAACCCATCACAATAGTTGAAATGTCAGCTGTAGATATTTTTTTTTCCTCAAGAACAGGAGAAGCCACTTTGGGAGGCCGAATGGGTGAATCATTTGAGGTCAGGAGTTTGAGACCAGCCTGACCAACATGGTGAAACCCCGTCTCTACTAAAAATACCAAAAAAATTAGCTGGACGTGGTGGCTTGTGCCTGTAATCCCAGCTACTTGGTAGGCTGATTTTTTTGGATTGCTTGAACCTGGGAAGTGTAGGTTGCAGTGAGCCGAGGTCATGCCACTTTTTTTTAGCCTGGGCAACAGAGCAAGACTCAGTCTCAAAAAAAAAAAAAGAATAGGAGATTTTTTTTCTCATGGAAGAATATCTGCCTATTTGCATGTCCATTCTATAATTTTTTAAAATTTTTTTTTGAGTTTTATAAATAACTAGACTCATAGAGGGAAGAAAAAGAAACAATTATGGTTTCTACAAAAGTTTATTTCTTTGTGCATTATATCCCATAGTCAAAATCTAATTGCAAATTTTTTTACTTTACTCTCTGAAAAGATTAAGTACAATTGTGAAATTCTTACTGAGGTGTAATTGACAAAAATGGTGCTGTGATTTGTTTGTCCTCTCTGAAATCCATGCTGAAACTTAATCTGCAAAGTAACAGTATTAAGAGGTGGGTCCTTTAAGAGATAATTGGATCATGAAGTCTCTGCCTTCATGATTGTATTAATCCATTCCCAAATGAGTGAGTTAACGGCTGAGTAGGAATATTTTTTTGTGAATGATCACGAGACTGGTACTGTTATAAAAGCCTGGTTGGCTCTCTCTCCTGCAAACCTCTCCTCTCTCCTTGTGATGCTGTCCACCATGTTATGATGCAGGATGAGTCCTTTTTTTGAAGCCAACCAGCTGCAGCCCGTGGACTGTGGACTTCCCAGCCTCCAGCACTGTTTTTTTTAAATTTCATTACATGGATGTATTACATGATGGAAAAAAAAAAAAGGTCGGTTTTTTTTTGCTCATGCCTATAATTACTGCAGCCCTGACTCTCAGCCTCACGTGGTCTTCTCACTTCAGCCTCTTGAGTAGCTGGGACTACAGGTGCCCACCACCACACCAGCTAGTTGTTCTATCTTTTGTAGAGATGGGGTCTTGCTGTGTTGCCAGGGCTGGTCTCAAACTCCTGGGCTCAAGGGATCCTCCCTCCTCAACTTCCCAAAGTGCTGGGATTATAGGTATGAGACACCATGTTTTTTTAGATAAACTTTAAGTAGTGATTTGGCATATAATAGGGACATTCCCCTTGATTCTTTTTTTTTTTTTTTTTTGAGATGGAGTTTCTGCTCTGTTGCCCAGGCTGGAGGTTTGGTCAGTGCACATGCTCTGGCTCATTGCAAGGCTCGCCTTCGGGTTCACGCCATTTCTCTGGCCTCCAGGCCTCCCGAGTAGCTGGGACTACAGGCACCCGCCCACCACGCCGGGCATTTTTTTTGTATTTTTATAGTAGATGGGGAATTTTCACGTGTGTTTAGGCCAAGATGGGTCATGCGGATCTCTGACCCTCGTTTTGATCCACCTGCCTCAGGCCTACCCAAACAGTTGCTTGGGATTTTACAAGGCATGAGCTGCTGCCGGGCCCAGGCGCCATTCCCTTGACTTCTAAAAGGACTCTTGAACCCCATTGGGAAACATTCTTTATTTTAATCCGGATTCATATTATATTTATAAATTTTTTATATATAAATAATAAATATTTATATTACTTATATGTACATCTTATTTATATATTTTTATATATAAATATAACATTTATTTATTATATATAAATATATTTTTATTATATTTATGTTTATATTTAAAATATATATACTTCTATACTACATTTATATATATTTATATAAAAATGTGTATATATTTTTCTGAGATGGAGTCTTGCTCTGTCTCCCAGGTTAGAGTGCAGTGGTACGATTTTGGCTCACTGCAACCTCCACCTCCTGGGTTCCAGCAATTCTCCTGCCTCAGCCTCCCGAGTAGCTGGGATTACATTATATATATATCTATACACACACACACACACCATAATATATAATATATACATATATATAGTATATATATAACATATATATTATATAGTATATAGTATATGTAGAACTCCTAGGTTCAACCAATCTGCTGCCTTGGCCTGCTAAAGTCTTGGGATCACAGGCATGAGCTACTGCGCCCAGCCTATGTCTTTATTTATTTAGTTCAATTGTGTCTCCCTCTGTTTCTGCACATCATGTGAGCACCTGAGCAAACATCTCCCCATGATCTTGGATGTTATAATGAATCGTGTCTTACTGGTGTACCTCTTTAGGCTTTGAGCCTGAGAGAATGACAAGCGTCTTAGAATATTTCATTTAAAAAATAAATTTTGTGCTCTTCTAATGTTCCAGGAATTTTACTTCTGTTGAAAAAAGGGCCATAAGATGCAATTATAATAAATGTATTTCTGGGAATGTAGAGAAATACTTTAAAAGCCTCAGTTCCAGATCCAGTGCATCATTGACGTCATCGTTGCCGGACCGCTTTCTAGGAGACTGGAGTCGAAGGCCGTGAGTCAGCCATAATGGCAGCTGAAGAAATTAATGAGGACTATCCAGTAGAAATTCACGAATATTTGTCAGCGTTTGGGAATTCCATTGATGCTGTGGATGAGATGCTGAAGAACATGATGTCTGTTTCTAGAAATGAGTTGTTGCAGAAGTTGGACCCACTTGAACAAGCAAAAGTGGATTTGGTTTCTGCATACACATTAAATTCAATGTTTTGGGTTTATCTGGCAACTCAAGGAGTGAATCCTAAGGAACATCCAGTAAAGCAGGAATTGGAAAGAATCAGAGTATATATGAACAGAGTCAAGGAAATGACAGACAAGAAAAAGGCAGGCAAGCTGGACAGAGGTGCAGCTTCAAGATTTGTAAAAAATGCCCTCTGGGAACCAAAACCGAAAAATGCATCAAAAGTTGCCAATAAAGGAAAAAGTAAAAGTTAACTTTTTGTTTTTTATGTACACATATTCAAAAAGTACATCTTTTTTTTTCCCACAAAATAATTCTGTGGTAGTGCAAGGTTTAAATGTAGTCCTTATTGAATTAATATGTAAATTTACAGTAAATTTGTAAAGCTAAATACTTTCCTCTCCAAAGGGTGTTATCTTTATTGATTTGCACTGTGAGGGTTTTAACATTGTGATATATTTTATATTTACAATTTACCATGTCTTTTGATGAGACTCTTATTTCTTTATATAGGTCAGTCTTGCAAGTACCATTTTCTAAGCAACTGTGAAATTTAAGTGAAATGTTCTTTGTAAATATTTGTACTATTTTAAATGAAATAACACACTTATACCATCCACAGACACATATAAAACACTCAATAAAGGCCAATTAATGTAGTTGATTGCACGTAGCTCCAGATACAGTTATTCCCCAATTCATTGTCTATTTCTTCTTTCTCTTAATTATTTTGAGCTTATCAGTTGTAGCAAAAGCACACACTATTTTTCCTCTGTAGTAGTGTAGACAACATAAATGATCTCTTGGTAGAAGTTTTAATCCAGTCATTGCTTTATTTTATTTTGTTTTTTTATTTTAGATTCAGAGTTTCATGTGCAGGTTAGTTACATGGATATATTGTGTGGTGCTGAGGTTTGGGCTTTTATTGATCCTGTCACTCAAAAGTGAATCTAGTATCCTATAGTTTTTCAACCCTTCCCCGCTCCCTTCTTCCTCCTCTTTTGGAGTCCCCAGTGTCTTTTGTTCTCATCTTTATGTCTGTGTGTACCCATTGTTTAACTCTGAGTTATAAGTGAAAACGTGCAATACTTGGTTTTCTTTTTTTGCATTAATTTGCTTAGAATAATGGTTTCTAGCTGCATCCATGTTGCTGCAAAGTCTATGATTTCATTCCTTTTATGGCTGTGTAGTATTCCATGGTGTATATATACCACATTTTCTTTGTCCGGTACACCACTGATGGGTACCTAGGTTGGTTTCATGTCTTTACTATTGTGAATAGTGCTGTGATAAGCATTCAAATGCAGGTGTCTTTTTGGTAGAATGATTTATTTTCCTTTGGACATATATCTAGTAGTGGGATTGCTGGGTTAAATGGTAATTCTATTTTTAGTTTTCTCGTTTGTTTGAGACCGAGTTTCGCTCTTGTTGCCCAGGCTGGAATGCAATGGCGCCATCTCGGCTTACTGCAACCTCCGCCTCCTGGGTTCAAGCAATTCTCCTGCTTCAGCCTCCCAAGTAGCTGGGATTACAGGCGTGCACCACCACGCCCAGCAAATTTTGTATTTTTAGTAGAGATGGGGTTTCTCCATGTTGGTCAGGCTGGTGTCAAACTCCTGACCTCAGGTGATCTGCCCACCTCAGCCTCCCAAAGTGCTGGGATTGCAGGGATGAGCCCCCACGCCTGGCTGGAGCAGCCTCTTTCATCACAGGCTTACTGGGTCCCAGGTGGAAGTGCTCCTGCTTCATCTGCAACAGTGCAGTGGGGAGGGGAGGGGAGAGGCAAGAGATGACACCCTCTCCACGTCCATTCCGAGGCTCTTATTGTGACTCCTTCAGTGAGTAGTGCTGCGGCCATGTTTCTTTTCTTCCAAAGGGGCCTTTGGTGGGCTGCACTCCCCCAACCTTGAGTGGACTGCACTGAGGGTTATGACACCAAGGGATCCGCAACTCCCCAGTGACCTCTCTCTGGTCCCCTGTGCTTGCTGGAGTCAAGTGGGTTGTGGGGTATGTCTGCGGGCAGTTAGGCAATGCAGTGGCACCAGTGGTGTACAACTGTTATGGTACCTGTGGCCTGGGGTTTTCGGTCCTGCAGGTGGCCATAAGGCCTGCCCAGCTCATGCTCTCCTGACCTGGTGCGTCTCTTCTGGCATCCACACTGGCAGCAGGCCCAACTGGCTAGGCTTGCTCTAAGCTGTCTGCATCCAGGTTGCTGAGCCATTCCAGGTATTCTCAACCATGAGACCCCATGGGGGAGAAGCCTTGGCTATCAGGCCCTGCCCTTCCCGGTCCAGTCTTGCAAAGGAGGGGGCACTCAGCTCCCATGCTGGCACATGGACCTACACAGCACTCTTCTCTGTGCAGTGCAGTGGAGGTGTGCTGTGGGCATCCTTCTGTGAGACTGGCCAGGTGGGCAGTCTTGGGAGGTGCTGGGAGGCAGTGGGAGTGAGGTGGTAGGGGGAGTGTGGTTCAGATACACCTCGGTCCCATGCTCAGTGCAAGACAAAGCGTCTTCGGAAATCAGCGTTTATGGTTGTGTTTTGCTACCATGGCACAGCACAGCGAAGCCTGGGCTTTGCCCAGATTCAAGCTGTGCCTCTGCTTGTTCTCCAGGCGGCTCTCCCTGGAAGTCCAAGTGTTTATGGGGATCGTGGGAGCTCCTGTAGCTAGGATCACAGGGGTCCATGCAGGGAACGTGATGCCTGAAGTTCTTTCATCACCAGCTCCTTAGATCTGGTCCAGGTCCAGGAACTGTTCCTGGCACCCAGCAACACCGGGTAGGCTGTGAGCTTCCTTCCTCTAAAACCATGGTGTTTGCGTGGCCTCTCCATTGACCCTTGGTGTTTTCTCAAGAGATGTTTGAAATGTGAAGGCTTCCTCAATACTTTGGTTCCTCTTCGCGGAAGAAGCACCCTCCAGTGGCTTGTAGTTGTCCGTGTTGCCTCTTTTTGCTTTAAACCAATGGTGTGATGGCCATAACCCAGGTTTGAGTGTATATATATATATATATATATATATAGGGGTGGTGAGAAGATGGGCCCCTAAAATTTTTTTTTTAATTTCCTTATTTAAAATGAGAAAAAAATATCTGTAGGTTTACCTTACCTTTCTGTTCCATTTCCTTTGCCCTCTTAAGCAAAGTATTTCTTTCTGAACTCATTTCTTTCTTCATATACCCTATGTATAATATGTACCCTATGTACAGTACCAGCTAAGAGCAGGTGAGTCATGATAGTGATATTCTGCTTTCATTATTTTCCTCACTTCTGCCTTCCAGGTATTCACAACTGACATAGATTTACCAAAAATTTACAGTGGCATAAGATTGTCTGCCATCTTTCTTTTTTATTTTCTTTTATTTTTTTTGGTTGAGACGGAGTCTCTGTTGTCCAGCCTGGAGTGCAGTGGTTCTACCTTGGCTCACTGCGACCTCCACCTCCCAGGTTCAAGTGATTCTCTGCCTCAGCCTCCTGAGTAGTCGGAACTACAGGCATGTGCCACCACACCAGGCTAATTTTTGTATTTTTAGTAGAGATGGGTTTTGTCATGTTGGCTAGGCTGGTCTCAAACTCCTGATCTCAAGTGATTCACCCACCTCGGCCTCCCAAACTGTTGGAATTACAGGCATGAGCCACCGTGCCCAGCCTGTCTGCCATCTTTCTAGGATTCTAGGAGACAGGCCATGTATCACCCATGGCCTATCTCCAGGGACAAATCTACCCATATAAGGTTTCGTATTATGTCATTTTACCAAAATAAGCAATGGGATGATTATATCTGTCATGCGAGTGCGTGTGAAGAGACCACCAAACAGGCTTTGTGTGAGCAATAAAGCTTTTTAATCACCTGGGTGCAGGCAGGCTGAGTCCGAAAAGAGAGTCAGCGAAGGGAGATAAGGGTGGGGCCGTTTTATAGGATTTGGGTAGGTAAAGGAAAATTATAGTCAAGGGGGGTTGTTCTCTGGTGGGCAGGAGTGGGAGTCACAAGGTGCTCGGTGGGGGAGCTTTTTGAGCCAATATGAGCCAGGAAAAGGACTTTCACAAGGTAATGTCATCACTTAAGGCAAGGACCGGCCATTTTCACCACTTCTGTGGTGGAGTGTCATCAGTTAAGGCGGAGCAGGGCATTTTCACTTCTTTTGTGATTCTTCAGTTACTTCAGGCCATCTGAGCATATCCGTGCAAGTCACAGGGGATTCAATGGCTTAGCTTGGGCTCAGAAGCCTGACAGTATCCATCAGCGTATCAACCAAGAAAAAGAACTAGTATATATTTAGAGATGTGTTGCAAGGAACTGGCTTATGTGATTGTGGACGATCACTTGAGAAAGTCCAAAGTCCATAGGAAAGGTTGGGCGAGAGCTGATGCTGTTGTTCACAGGCAGAATTTTTTTTATGGAAGACTCAGTTCTGCTTTGAAGGCCTTTTTTCCAACTGATTATTTCAATAAAGTTTATTAGAAACCCAGAATCAATTCAGAAAACTCATCTATAATATTCTTTGTTATACAGCCACTAACAGTACCAATATCTGTCAGTCAAAATTCGACCAGAGAAACAGAATCAGTTTTCAAGGAAATTGACTTACACAATTGTGGGGACTGACTAGGCAGGAAGGAAATTTGTAGGGAAAGGTGAGCTGACACTCTCAGGCAGGAGCTAAAGTTGTTCTCCAGTCCCACCCACATTATATTGAATAATCTGTTTTTTTTTTTTTTTTTTTGAGAGGGAGTCTCGCTCTGTTGCCCAGGCTGGAGGGCAGTGGCGCGATCTCGGCTCACTGCAAGCTCCGCCTCCTGGGTTCACGCCATTCTCCTGCCTCAGCCTCCTGAGTAGCTGGGATTACAGGCGTGAGCCATCGCGCCCGGCCATATAATCTGTTTTAGGTAAAGCCAATTGATTTTATATATTAATCACACGTGCAAAATGCATTTATAGCAACACCTGCATTCATGTTTGATTGATAAACAGCAGAGCTTAGACTAGCTAACTTCACACATGGCCAGACCACCACATTGATGATGGAATAAAATATATTTCAGGAAAAGCTGAGGCAAACGTGAAAAGTACAAAGTAAGGCAAGACTCTCCTTTTTTTTTTTTTTTTTTTTTGAGAAAGTGTCTCGCTTGCTCTGCCGCCCGGGCTGGAGTGCAGTGGCGCGATCTCAGCTCACTGCAAGCTCCACCTCCCGGGTTCACGCCATTATCCTGCCTCAGCCTCCCCAGCAGCTGGGATTACAAGCACACGCCGCCACGCCCGGCTAATTTTTGTATTTTTAGTAGAGACGGGGTTTCACTGTGTTAG